TCCTGTTCGCTGATCCACTTCGTGAGATCCGTGGAGCTGATCCGGCTTGCTGATCCGATGCGTGTGATCCGATTTGACCCTGCCCTGATCCGATACGTCGGGCGCCTTGATCCAGCTCGCACCACGTACTGATCCGTTACATTTGAGCTGATTCGTGGGTCTACCGCCTTCAGAGCTACCATTTGGAAGACCTGTAGCACTTTCGAGGATTGCCTTGAACGAGTATTTGCCGCCAGGTTAAGAATACTACAGGCAAACGTGGGATTGGAGCAAGAAGTTCTGGACAGGAGCGCGTTGGATGGCGAGATCAAGGCGAATGAGCAGAACAACCAGTGAGAACTCACCGAGCCTCTTCAGAGCTTTGAGCCTTCAATAGTTGGTCTAGGCCGTCTAGGCCAGACATTTTATGGTCCACGGTCTGAGGCTCGGGATTCTGGCTTTAGTTCGAATCTGCTGAGGTCCTCTTGGACATGCCACTGCCCTCATGGGGTGTGGTGATTTTGGTGGGGTTGAGGGCTGTGAAGAGCAGCGCCTTGCAAACAGGCAGTAGCGGCAGATCCACGCACATCAAGAGATACAGCTGCCCGCATCTTTCGGGAAGAGTTCGTGTATTGCGTGACGAGCTTCAACCCAATCGCAGGGCTTGGACCAAAAACAAGCACCGAATCAGAAGCAATTGGTAAAACGCCCAAAGGCTTCAAGCCCTCAGCCTCACTGCGCTTCCTTTGTTCCCCGACGTGCTCCGCCAACGCGGACGTGACGGGGGTCGTGCATTTTTCCTTTTAGAGGACTCAGGCCCAGCGGCTCAGATTTGAGGCTACAAGTAGGCAGCAGGAGAAAGCTGCAGCGGCTTGCAAAAAGTCCGTAGGCCTAGCTAACCGCAGCACTCACCTGTGCTCAGCTTTCATACAGCTCTATGGGAATTGCAGAAACCAGTATTGGTCATCTTCAGGCTTCCAAGTAGACCAGCTTGCACGTAGAGGCGACGCGCCTTTGTCTTGGCCATCTTGCACACAGCTGAAAGAGTCATTACAGGACTTATCAGACCAAGGTTTCCGGCAAAGATGGAAAGATATCCATGGGCAATTGGATGGAACAGAGCATGCAGAGCATTTAGCGAGACAACCAGCCGGAGTAAGCCGAAGTCCCAGGGTTGGGTTGTAGACATACTTTGTGCCATTCAGTCCTGAGGAGTCCAGAGTCCTCTCCATTGTCAGCCTCCGAATGGAGCCCTGTCATTTGACACAGTCTGAGAGTGCGGAAGCCAGCTGAGAGCAGCTGATAGTAGCATTAATTACTTGTATGTCCTGAGAGTCCTTGTGCCTGGTAGCAGCAGATAGCTCGAAGTTTCATGTGATAAGGTCTGTGGAAAGCCGTTCCGTGACAAGTGACAAGCATGCAATGTGCCAAAGTCCTGACTCTGCACACCCAGCAGGCCCAAAGAGACAAGCTGGCTTCAAGCCACTCCCAAAATGGAGGGGACCCTCCGTCAGAAGGAGAATGAAGCAGATATGTTCTTGCAGCAAAAAGAGAGGTCTCCCTCACAGGCTTATCACGGCAAAACTGGTTCTTACTAGAGCGGCTCCTCCGCTGTCCCCGTGCTACACACTTTGCTCTGCATGGCGAGCGGTACTAAGTCATGAAGCATCCGAGGCGCACGCTGGGCAGCTATGGCATTGACAACATTGAGGTCAGCGTTTCAGCACCCGTTGCAGGTTGCACGGCAAGAGACGGCGGCGGGGG